AAGAGATAATGAGAGATTATTGGGTAGAAATCCACTAATCTAAGAGGCTTGAGTAGTTGGATGGAGATTTAGTACCCAATAGGGCAAAATCCATTAGAGTTAAGTTGATAGAAGGGAACCAAAGGGCCATAAGCTAAGCATTTTTAGCTACCACATCATATTCTCCTCTCCTTTTCTTCTCCTCAGCCAATAGCCCCTATTTGGGGCATGTGGAGATTTGGGTAGTGATTCGAGGAATGTCTTCACAGCCCTTGCCGTATGGATCACCGTTAGAGAGGAGGATAGCTGACCTCCTTCATTCTCTCCCATAGATCTGTAGGATTTCAAGGATATACGATCTCTCTATGTTAAACACATCTCTCATATATGCATGATTTTCGATTTATGCACATTAATCTTCGCATGACGATGAAACCTTTTTTATGGAAATCTAAATTTTTTCTTTTTGTTCTTTCGTTATACATGTGATGTCACTCTTAGATTTCCCTACATATATGCTAGACCCCCTTTTTACTGCCACCTCTTATACTCCTTTCTCGCTCTCCTCCTCAGCCAATAGTCCTAGTTTTAGGATGTGTAGACAATAAGAAGGGTCGGCCCCTTCTTGATCTCGTGGTATGCGTGAAGAGGAGGTTTGTTGAGCGATTTAAGGAGTGTCTTCGGAACCCTTACCATGTGGATCACCGCTAAAGAGGAGGACAATTGACCTTCTTCATCCTCTCCTATATATCTGTAGGTTTTCAGGGATATACAATCTCCCTAGGTAACACACATCCCTTAACACGCACAGTTTTTCAGTTTTATAGGTTTTTTAGTTTGAAAGTAACTCAACACAATATTATCTACATTATCATAAATCGCGTTCCATGAAGATTGGCCCACCATACTCATTAATAATGGACCGCTATTCTCTCTTTCTTATCCAATGGATGTCACCGTTTAATCTTGTGGCTCTTGTAGGTCATCGGGTGACCCACCTAAGTACTCTTCAAATATCAAAGTCCAAAGCATATATATAGACTTCAAAAGGCTTCCCATAATATAACAATTTGAGTACCAATTCTTTTAACACAATAGCCTTTATGTCTTAAAATATCGCTTTATATTTGTTTGACCATTCTAAGGTTGCTCCTTCTTCAATAACTCTGTCAGTCAAGTTACCCGCTTCGAGTACCTAACTATAAAGCACCAATAATAGTTGACAAAACCAAGAAAGAATCTTAGCTTTGATACTTTCTTTGGTGTTCGCCACTCTACCATAGTCTGCACCTTTGATTTATCTATTCAAATAGAGCCTTAGCCAATTCGATATCCTAAGAATAAAATCTCTATTTAAGCAAATAACACTTCTATCTTTTCACGAACAAAATATTCTCTTTGAGAATCTTGAAAATTATTTGAATGTGCTTAATATACTCCTTGAGCACTTGGCTATAAACGACGATATCGTCCAAGTATATGATCATAAATCTGTCCAGATACTCCTTGAACAGTTAGTTCATGAGAGTGCAGAATGTGGTCAAAGCATTGGTTAAGCCAAAAAGATCACCAAAAGCTCGAATGCTCCATACGAAGTAGTCTTTGTTCTACGCCTTTAGTTATGCTCACCTACTAGTAGCCTGAATAAGTTAATGATAAGCAAGATGGGATACTTGTTTTTTACCGTCATCTTGTTTAGGGTCTGATAATCGATGTATAATCAAATGCTCCATACTTCTGGAAGAAGATTGAGGCTCTAAATGGTGCTTTCGAACTATAGATGAGACCTTAGTAGTTCATCTAATTGCTTCATAAACTCTGCCAACTTTGGAGGGACCATGTGGTATGGTCTCGTTGGAGACTTCATGCTCGACTCCAACTCGATACAATGATCCATGCCTTTGTGTAGCGATAGGGTTTTTGGTAACTCGGGTGGTATAACATTTATGAACTTTTTCAAAATGTTCACCACCACTGCAGGTTCATGAGTAGCCTCCACATCAAGTGACTCGCTTTACTGTGGCCATAAAAGTTAATTCATCTTTGCACACCCTCTTCTTTAGTTGTAAAGTTGATATTTATTATGGGCCCTTAGTTCCTCCTCGAGAAACTAGAACTATGTTGGGGTCATTACCTCCTATCAGACATAGGGAGTTTATGAATGACAATGACACTATTTTTTTTTTGTGCACAAACTCCATTCTGAGGATCACTTGGAAGTAATCTAGCAATATCACCATCATGTTTGTGCTTTCCCTCCACATCCCAATCTTAATAGGAACCCCCTTTGTCAACCCGAAGATCTACCTAGCCTTCGAGTTCATAGCCTTCATTTGACTTGGGCTTTTCTCTATGTTTAGCTCGAGTTACCTTGCTTCTCAATCGACAATGAAATTGTGGGTAGTGCTTGTGTCTACCATCTCACGGCTTGTTCGATCATTTGGCTTGATATCCACGTATATCAGCTCGTTGCTCTCTATTTTTGTTGCTTCATCTTCATGTACTCCCTCACTTGGCCCCGTAATCCATTCAATAAACATATTGTTGCCATCCAAAGTCCTTACAACTTATTGTCACTACTAGATTTTGAACTACTCAGACTAAGGGCGACGGCCTACCATTATTCGATTTGGAGGGATGGATTGATATTATCAATACATTGAGTGCTTATTTTTGTGGGCACTCTCTCACCATGTGCAATAGCATCCATCTGGTTTTGAGACTTTGCCTTCGAACTCGGCCATTTGTGGGAACTCATTTTCTTTGGCTCGATTCCAGACTACTTCCCTCGAGAATGTTTAAATGAGTGATTTTTCGAAGATTATGTCTTCTTCCCCTAATCTTATAAGGAAACAAAGTCAGTGAGTCGTTTCACAACTATAATTGCCTCAACCACATTGATGGTATTCCTTTGATATAGTTTATGTTGTGCCCATTATTTTAAGCTATCGAGGAAGGTGAACAGCTTGTTTTTCTCAGATACGTCTCGTATGTTCAACATCATTGTCCTAAATAGAAGTATATTAGCAGAGTTGTCTTAGTCTTCTTCTTGTGACAAATTTCATATTACCAAGTAAGAATTGAGTTCTCAACTTTCGCCGTAAGTTCTCCCATATGTCCACTCGACACTGACTTTATTGAATCTCTTCCCAACATGTTTGCCACCAAAGTTTTACATCCCCATTCATATACATGGTTGCTATCAAAACTTTGGTTTCATCATAATTAGACCTCGTAGCTTAGAAGTACTATTCTATATCAAATAAAAAAATTTCGAGCTCCTTCGCATCCCTAACACCCCCATAACAATGTAATTCGGGCGCCCTCAAGTTTTGTGATGGAGTAATGCAGGTGTTTCTCCCTCCCCCATTGAGATCCATTGTGAGCAATGTAATCCTAGACATGAGTTCAGTCACAACTTCGTGTATATGTTGCATAGAGTCTTTGGTGTCTTTTATCAATCGATCTACTCGGGATTCAACTCGATTCGAGATTCTGTCTCATCTTGTAAGTTCTCTACCCCAAGAAGCATTCGTTGGTCTTAGTATAATTCTTTTATACTCGCTTTAAGAACATCAAGGTAGGTTTTTGCAATTGTAAGTATCTTTTTATAATTTCTTTTCCCGATTGACGCTCTAGATTACGTTTCCTCTGCTCATAGAGAATAGCCAACTTTTCGCTAATTATTTTTTATGTCGTGATCCTCTTAAGCGGCTACAATAACTTAAGAACGAGTTTACATTTGTAACCCTCCTACAATTGCTTAGGGCTCTGACTTGTCTTATCTTGCTCGATTCGTCATAGTGTTTTACCATAGCAAGATTGTGAACTTTAACTATTTGCTCGAACTACTTGTCTGCTCTTATACCATAATGTCATAGACTTAGTCGAAATTGCTTAAGTCATGAGATGTCTTTATACTTTTCATTTGCAAAAGGTTAGCCTAGTTGTAACTTCGCTCATGTCTCAAATGACCTATAAAGGAGCAAAATAATTAGTTCAAAAAATGAGAGATAGATAGGTCCCAACATCTAACAAAGATGACAACCTTATAAGCAATTCAACAAATACTTACCATACAAAAGAGAAAAAAGAGAAAGGTGAAAATAAGAACCGTAAAATGCAAACAAACAATCGTAAGTTCACAAACGACCGCTTATCAGGTGTCAAGCATGTTGGCAAGTTCCCATAAGTTTAACATATAAACTTGTGAATCAAACCAATGTCCAACACTATCCCAAACCCTCGTCTAGCCCTATACCATCCGAGTGATTTTATAGTGCTAAGATGGTTGATATTTTACTTCAAAAAATAGAACTTGACACACAAAACTAGACTGTTCTGAGATAATTTTGCTTATTTTGATGAGCAACACTGCAACCCTACAAACTATTTTTGCTCATAATTTTTAAATAAAATATATAAAAATAAAATATATTATTAAATATATATATATAACTAAATAAAAATGATAAATTTGATAAAATTATTACATGTGTGTAATGATTATCCATGACACACTTCTCGTGATGAGAGCAGAGTCAAGCGATGACAATTATGAAGGAAGATAATGAGAATCGAAGATAACAATGATCGGTGAAATGTGACTATATATATATATATGTATGTATATATATATATATGTATGTATATATATATATGTATGTATATATATATATATATGTATATATATATATATATATATATCTTTGTGTAAAAAATAATTAAAAATATTATTTGATAAAAACGCATAATAAATTTTTTTTTAAGATAAAAATGCCCCTATGAATTGACTAGAACCGACGCAAAGGCTTTTAGGCCCTTAGGCTCTCTAGGCTTTGATAGGTCCGACAAACTCTGCGATCCACATGCCACAATCTAAGAGGGACAAGAAATCCTGAACCTTGCGGGAGCTCGGACGCCAAAACCTACTAACGGTGAGCAACACGTGGAGCTCCACGGCATGCATGCGTGCGAGCCTGCACGCAGTGCCACTTCTTTGTTAACCATACCGCATTCAATGGCATTTCCCCACCCCACCAAACACTTTCCTCAACCCCTTCAACACTGACACTCTTCTTGCCTTCTCCCTACATCTCCTTCCACTCCAGCGCAAGATTGTGGATGATGAAGACGATGAGCGAGGAGGAGAGGAAGCAGAACAAGCAGGCGAGAGGCGTGACCGCGGTGGCGCTGGGCGGGGAGGAGGCCGCCGCGAGCGGGGGGGCCGACGGTGGCGACGGGAGGGCGGCGGAGACTCTGCTGCGAGTGACGCCCGTGGGGCTCTGCGTGGCGGCGCTGGTCATCATGCTCAAGAACGCGCAGGACAACGACTATGGCGCCATCTCCTACGCCGACCTCACCGCCTTCAAGTAAAGCCAGTCTCCCTCTCCTCTTCCTTCATTCCACGGCTGACGGCTGTAACATGCCTTGGTTTTCATGGCGTCCACGAACAGGTATTTGGTGTACGCTAATGGAGTTTGCGCGGCGTACTCCCTGTTCTCGGCGTTCTACGTCGCCGTGCCACGCCCCATGACGCTGTCCCGTTCGTGGACTCTCTTCTTCTTAGACCAGGCAAGCATTCTAATCCCACTCTGTCTGTTGCAGAAAGCCTTTCAATATTCTTCTTAGTGTCTCTAATCCTGTTTATATCAACACCTCAAAGCTTTAAAGGGAATCAGAAATTAATTTCCAAGATTGCCTTAAAAGGAAAAGAAAAACAGAGGAAATGATATCTTACAGACGAACAACAAATTGAAGCATCAATTCTCCAATCCGAAAGACCAGTTCATCAGCTCCAATCTTGAAGATTGAGAAAAGAGTCTTCTGAATCATATGGATTCTTATTATTTTCTGGAGTCTACAATCAAGAAAAATAAAGCTATTAGGCTGCACATGAATCATAAAAATGAAGCATTCCTACAGCAAGTAGGCCAAGAAAGGAAAGGATAAAGACGAGCATGAGATGATTGAGTGAGAGATGAGATAATTGTCATGATCTAATCCAATAGATCAGCAACCTAATAACTTCCATAAGACGGATCTTAAACCATGTAATCCATCTAATCTTAAATACTAATTCAATCATCCATCTAGTCCCCAAAATATGTGTGTATTTACTTGCTAGATTCATAGTCTGCACAGCTACTTCCAAGCTCTCACATGTGTTTCAAGGACTGCACGCTGCCTCCTTGTAACTGAGATGCTTTGTGGCAGGTGTTGACATACGCAATCCTGGCAGCCGGAACGATGTCGGCCGAGCTAATGTACTTGGCACACTACGGGGACGTAAAGGTAACGTGGAGCAAAGAGTGCAATGTCTTCGGCAGCTTCTGCAAGAGGGCGACGACCTCTGTTGGCATCACCTTCGCGTCGGTGGCGTGTTATGTGCTGCTCTCCCTCGTCTCCTCTTACCGCCTCTTCAGCGCTTACGAGACCCCCATCCCTTTCATCAGCAGCAAGGGCCTGGAGATCGCGTCCTTCCCTCACTGAAGAGAGATCGCATCCCTGTCTGTAAGCAGACATCAGATAATAGTATGGCTTAACAGTAGAGGAAAAGACACTGAAGAATCTACTGTTTGCACTAGCAACTCAGTTCTGCGAATAAAGTTAGTTCTTGTTCCTGCATGAAATAGTGATCTGCCCAGTTTGTCTTTGTTACAGATTCTAGAATCCTATCTGACATTGTTGCAGAATTGTTTGTGTGATGATTATGACATGCTAAAAACCTTTGGCTCAATGAGGGGTAATTGGTCACCAATGTGACTAACAAATGATACAGTTCATTACAATTGAAAGCTAGAATCTTGCTGCATGTTAGGTTGTTACTATGGACAATTATTGATGCAAGAATTGATGTATTAGCCACTTAAAACAGTGGAACATCACATCTAAACTAAAGAAGAACAAGATTACATGAATTGTTTCAATGTGTATATGCAAATTTGAGAAAAAGGAAAATGAAAAAAAAGTTCCTTCTTGTCATCAAGAATTTGCACATGTAATAACTAACTATGTGAACCTTTATATGCTCCAAAATAAAAAACAATGGGATAAATAGTTAGATAAAAGGTTTGGAAAACTCATCAACTATTTGTTTTTGTACTAAAACTACCTTATAACTTAAAGAAGCTTTCAAGTAGTTTATTAATCATATAGATGAAAACAAGCAAATAACTCATGTTAAACAAGGGAGATTAATGAAATACATAGAACTAAAGAAAAGGATTTAAATTGTTTTAAGATTAAATGGAGATGGCAAAATGAAAGAACAAAGATTAATCCTAATACATGTTGGTCATTCAGCCCTACACCATAAGTGGACTGACAATTCTTACCAACTCAAACTTCTACAGTCAATAGCATTTATATCATTTCTTCCATATCTGAGGTAGACTTGTGAAAAATAAAATTTGTTCGTAGAGCAAATATGGAGAAAACTACTCTTTTAGAAGTAACATAAAAATAGGGAAAGGAAGGCCAAACTTTAGGATCAGGGAATATGATGAACTACTCACTATCCATCATAAGGAACAGTGTTGGTCCGTTGATATATTTAAAGTAATACTACGAACTATTTCTTTCTATCCTTTAGGAACTAATGCTGTAGCAGTATGTGTTTTGGTTGCTGAAGTAATGCCATGAAAGGCACTTCTCATTGTCCATCAAACAGCAATGCTGGTTGCTGATATATCTGAAATAAAGGGTGATGACTGTATCAATAAGCATTTTGGTTAATGATATTTCAGCTACCTATCACAGGAAATGAACCATTATTGCTAATTATACATGGATGTCAGATTTCACAAGAAGCTGATGACTAAATAGACAATTGGCAATTGAAAAACCACTATACAGACAGCAAACTGAGACAGAAACCTCACTGATACCACTGCTCATTGCAATTGAAAGAGACAGAATGGAAATAAAGACAATGGTAAACAGGAAAAGAACATTGAACACAGTCATGCAACAATGCGAGATGTCCTATTTAAGCTCAGCAAATGGAAAAAGAAGATAGATAGTACTGCCTCTTGCTAACCAAGTAATTATGGGGTCCAGGAAAAGAATCAGAAAAGGATGGAATTGGCTTAACAACTTTTTGCATCAATCAACTGTGATTTCAGACAGGTAACAAAGTGATACATGGGAAAGTGACAGCCAACAGTTACCAGTATTTCATTGATGAGAACTTTACTACCGGCTCTTTATCAGAAGTCAGCGGACAAAGCTGGTCCCTTATCCTACTCTACCCTTCCAGTGATTTCATTGTTCCTTCAAGATAGCAACTGGCATATGGACCACCTATTGTCCTCTTCTCAGTTCCCTCAACACAGGGAAAAAGAGCAATCTACACTAGAAAATAAATGTGCTGGCTGGCTAAACTTGCTTTCTCTAAAGGGAAGAAGATGACCTAAACTTAAGACCAAGCACAGTGGTGGCGTTAGCTTCCCACACGATCTCTATCTTATGCATTCAAGTCTATTTCTGACTTGAGAGGTTGTTGCATCATCACTTCAGAAGTATGGCTGAGTGACCCTTGTAAACCTACTTCAGACGTTAGGAACAATGCATAATGGTATCTATGAATTAAAACAAGACTAAGAGATCTAGCAAATTTTCTGGTACCGCTGTTATAAATTGACGAAGTTGATGTGACAAACCTGCGTGTCACATCATCGAGGGATACTCAAAACTTTCATCAAGAAGAAAAGTATCAAATATTGAGGGTGCAGATGGATGAATGATGATGTTGTCCATTCTGTAGGTTCTTGTTTATCCATCGGTCATCTGCCATAGTCTAATCAGCATTGAAGCAAGAGTACTTGTTCTTGTTCATTCTTCCCTACTTTCCTCTTATTGATCCCATCATTCCTTAGACTAGTGACTTATTACATTGACCCAGCTATCGTACCACTTTAGTTTCATCAACTCAAAGGGACAAGAACAGTGGATGCTAGAAATTTAGATGTACCTAGCTTTGCCTGTAAATATAAAGACATGTTCCTTACATGAAATCAAGCATAATTGCTGCTAATAAAGTCAAAAAAAAAAAAATCTCTCCCTTTCTCACTTGAAGGGCATTGCATCAACCTAAAAGCATGTATGGCATCAAGATCATTAGGTTGTACATTGGCACTACAAGAATCTGTAGTTTGGTTGGTTCAGCCATTCTGAAGGTTCTATTATTTTAGCCATCACCAACTCATCTTTCATGGGCTAAAAAGGACAAAACTAGTACATGAGGCTCCCTTGATAAAGGATCTATGGGTCAATGTATGCAGCCATGCCCAGTGCTGAGATGGTTTTCATGGGTTGATTAGTCTAAAAAACAACAGTTCAGATCCTTTGGTTAAAAACTAAACATTATTACCCACACTAAACCTATCCATCTCTGTAGATGAGTGGAAGCATGAAGCAAAAATTGGCATGGATAAGGATATTTTATTAATTTAAAGTGAGTGCAAGGTAAGTATGTGGCTTAAATTTTGGGAATTTACAGATGTTGAATTTTGTTATTTTTATTTTTTAATATGTAAATATTAAGAGAAAGGAAAAGGAAATACGAAGAAAAATAAATCGAAAAATTGATTTAAACTGACATGTAAAGGCTTCTCAGTGGATTTTTGTGGAGAAAATCTTGAAAAGGACATTTGTGAAGAGATTCTTGAGAAGAGTCACCAATGTGACAAGTAAAAGTCGGTTTAAGCACAAAAGGTCCCTCATTTTCAATCTTCAATATTGCCTTGTCCACAATTCTCCTACCAGTTGCAAAAGAAAGCATACATAACGAGATAAAAATAGCCAAAATCATAATGGACAAAATTTTGATTGGAGATTTAGGTGCAAAAGCAAGATCTATAAGAATCATGTAACACAAATATCACATGCTGAATGCTTTGGGAGAACTATGAAAAATACTTTGGTTAGAGACTACATAAGTGATTGTTGCCTTTAACATTTATGATTGCTAATAATCTCGCACACTAATGCTCGCGAAAACAATTGTCCAAATCAAAACAAAAATTATATGCCAATGTTTAGACATGTAGCAATCTATTAATTTGGGATGAACACGAGAGAATGAAGATAATCATTCATGGTAAGATTCTGTAAAGTGAGATGAAATAATGTGGAGTCTAGACATTACCCTTAATTTGAGTTCAACCCTCGCAAAGGATTCACGCAAGGATTCAGAGATTCAGGAACAAAGGCCTGTTTTTGTTATTCAGATATTCAAGAGCTCCTCCTCAGCAATTTTCCCTTTCCTCATCATCAAATCGCTTCTAACACCCAAAGCCTGCACTGTAAGAACGTCAGCAGGATGCAAAGAAGAGTATGACCGAAAGATTCAAAGAAGCTACTTGGGAATCGAGGACAACAAGTAAAGACTACATCTTGCGGACCAAGGATCTTTAAGCAAGTCATGAATCAAGGAACAGAAAAGAACAAGAAACCGTTTTCAAGTCTTCAGCAAAATCAGTATGGGTTTCAATCTCGAGAAGGGCGGGCCTCTCTCGCATGGCCCATCTCATGCCCTTCGGCCGCGGCGGAGAGGCGACGTTTTCCCAATCTACCAACTCTTCGATCCAACAGGATGGGAACGGGAAGCCACACCTGGTCTCCTCGCGGGCGAGTGCGAATCCCGATGCAAAGCATTAGGCGCCGATCACGAGGACGGAGAGAGGCACCGAAGGGACGCGGAGGCGGGTGACGGCCGAGCAGGATAGTAGATCCGATATCGCTATCGGTGGTGCGGGAGGGGCTAACTTCGCTGACGGATCGGGTTTGGATATAACATTTGGATCCGAAATGTTATTCCTTTGACAATGGAAAACCATAGAGCTAAATTGAGTCAGGTTTGATGTGTTTATATCTCCTGACCACATGCCACGTCAGTAGCAAGCATGGCAAAGGCAACTGCATGGACCAACACTAGTCATCATCATAACACCATGACATGAATGTTTTCACGTGATGTGAATTGATGTCTTCCAAGAACAGATGGGTGGGGCGCAGCCACCAGCTGCACAAGTGGACATGATTAAGGCATGGGATTCACATGCCCTAAAACTCCAAGGAGGCCCCACCTCATCCATCCAAGCAGGTGAAATATTAAATTAATTTTTATTATTAAATAAAAAAATAGATTTAAGAATATAAGTTTAATTATGATTCACATTTTAGTGGGAATGAAAAATAGGGATCAACATAAAACAAACTAAAAGATGACCATTTTACCAAAAAAAAATCCTTAATTTTGATAATTAATAATCATAATATTTTTTTAAAAATAAAAAAGTAATATGAATCATCTTAGAAATATATTCTAATGATTCTAAAATGATTAGTATTATTTTTTATTTTTTGAGAATCTTATTGATAATTAATTATTAACTTTTTTGAATAGCATATGTGATCAGATTATTTTAGTAAAGACTGAGGATATTCTCATCCAAGTTGTAAAAAAAGATGTTTCCAAGAAAACATGAATATGAGGGGTGCCTTTACATAAAAAGCTAATATTAAAAATATTTCGGATAAAATATTCCTAAAAGATTGTTTGAGACATTACAAATTATTATGACCACCAATAAGAGTTCTCAAAATTTTAATGTCTTAATCTTCCTCTCTCTATCATCTCTTCTTTGTAATTTATTGGAGTTCATCACCCTTTTCCTATAAATTTCCATAATCTTCCAACTTCTAAAACTTTCTCAGCCATGGAGGAGGCATTCATTGGAGTGATTCAAGGTGAGGCAGAAGAATAATGTTTTGGTTTCCCAAAGTGTTTCCTGCTGTTGAATAGTGAAAAGAGAATCTGAGTTGACACCACAAGAATTTGAAATGATGAAGAAGGAGAATTATGTCACTAAAAGATAAAGAAGTTCTATCTTTGTTCATATTGATCACTTTTGTGGGGAGAAACTTTGACATCAAATTAATAAATTTTAAAAACAATAACAAAAATATCTATTAAAAATTAATGGGCACAAAAGGTTGAGGTGATTTGATACTCTTTTTTTTTTCTATATGTAGGGAGAATAAAAATATAAAAAGAAGAAAATTTTCTCTTAAATTAATCCAAATCCAAACTCTAAATCTCTTGTAATTTTTTTTTAATTCATCTATCTGGATTTATTAGAGAAAATCTTAGAGCACATAAAATATATTTCTTTCTTGATTCTTTTCCTCAAACAGAAGTAAGTCTCCATGGACATGAATACATTATCTTCCAAGTAATTTGTCATTGTTATCATTAATTTATTGAGGAAGACTATAAAAGGTGACAAGAGATGCAACCTTAATCTCTCATTAACAATCAAAATAAAAGGAAGTTAATTAATCTAATTTGATATAACTCATAATTGAATATATTTTAAACATTAAATTGAAGCCATATCCAATTTCTTGAATCAGTATATTAAGGGAAGTGATGAATGCATACTCTCATAGTGTCTTCCATTAGAGGATATATATATATTATTGTCACCATCGTATCCAAATTTATTGTGTAAATAAAAAAGCTTTGTTTTGTGGACACACTTTGTTCATCTCCCAAAGTCCTCAGCTCAAGAATGGACCACTATTTTTTCTTTCACTCTAATTCCCTTCAAATGATTTAAGATGGTTTATAAAGATAGACATGAACATCAGCTTGTCAGTTTTGTCAGCGTCTATCACTCCAATATTCTCTGAAGAAGTAATTCACCTTCTTATGATTCCACTCAATTTCTCTTTTTCCCCAAGAAAAAGGAATGGTCCACCTTAACTCTTCTCTCTCTCTCTCTAAACGTGCAAAATGAGGATGAAGACCGGAAGAATGACCGGCATTGATTGAAACAATCCCACTGGTACCTGTCCACAACAATTAGGTTTGCATTTGCACGCCACTTCCTCCCAAGCCTTGACAAATAGGCACATTTGATGGATCACTTTGATGCACGGATCGAAGCTGAGAGAAAGGAGATGGAGAAGAACTCGGCTGGCCACAGGTACAATAGACCTCTTGCGTTCTTGTGTTTGTTTCTTTCTTCTTGCCAACAATCTTATGGAGTCGGCCAAAGAAAACAACGAGGTGTCTTACTTGTTTTCTCATTTCTGTTTTCTTCATTCTTCTTCTTCTCTCATCAAGTTGTTGTTTTTCCATACTGTCTTCTTTTTATTTTGTTCTTGAAAAGCTGATCGTATCATTTTGTGTTTACACATCTTGATTTTATTATATTTTTATGAAATTATCTCAAGTTAATTTTAGATTTTTTTTTTGTTTTTGTTTTCATAGAACACACACGCATAGCTCAAACTGATGCCACTATCTCTTGAATCAATTTGTCAAGAAATATGATTAAAAAAATATTCAAGATAGATATTTTAATTTTCTTTGATAAGGAAAGGAGATGATTGTATTCAATTGAAATAGTAATATATTTTTTTTTGGAAAGTAGAGTAAGATAAAAAAAAGGATTGAAAGAAACTCAAATAACAATAACATCATTTGATTAACAAATAAAAAAAATTAACGAATAAAAATATTTTGTGTTTGTTTATTGGGATTAATTAGTTCCCTTTAACATCCTAATTATGATATTTTTTAAAGTTATATTGAGATCTTTATACTTGATTTTTAATCTTCTAAAATTATTATTTTTAACTCTGTATAAATCTTAATATTTAATTTTTGAATATGTAAAGACTGAAATATTAAAAATAACTAATTACATGAGGTAAATCTATAATTGGCCCCCTAATTACAGATTTTTATTTGTATTCTTTATAAACTAATATTTTAATTTGTACTTTCCTATTTAAAATGAGGACTATTCGCCTTATCATGGATACTATTTCAATTCCTAATGTTTCTAATTTGCTCTCATAGATATATAGATAGATATATGATAGAAATGAAATATAAAGAATACATAATATTTCATATTTATACATGTTTGGAAGGGAGAATTTTTCTCGAGAATTTTCCTTAACATATTTACAATATCTCATCATGTAGTTGGGGAGATCTTGGTTGTTGTTGAGGTTGTTATCACGAGAGATCTTTGCTATTATCAATAGATATAAATACATTTACTCATGCTATTGTTGTCTTTGTGGAGCTTGAGGATGCCAATGGCGAAGCTCACCACCATGTTCCATGGCCGAAGGGTCAGAGCCTATAACGCCATTCCCCGAGATAAGGTTTCAGCCTCTTAATCTTCATCTCTTTATTTGATGCATCTCCCTCCCATGCCACATATAATGCTGGCCTCGATGACCGCTTGAACTGAGTCATTTGGCTGGGCGCGCACTGAAGCAGGCACGGGCGATACTACTCATCGCGGCCGCCGCGACCAAAACGCCCGCTATCGTTGGCCCCAGTGCCGCTACGGCCGCCGCCTTGCTCGGGCCGCTGCTGACGAGATCGTTGTCGCTTCAAAGCTCGACGGCGGGAGAGCCACCGCAGGTCGAGCTGCAAGCTGGTGAGGCCACCCACTTCCTTAGCTTGCTTCTGGTAATATATTGTTCCCTGCCAACTTGTGATGGCTTGTTGGGAACTCAAAGGGGTGTCCTTCTTTTGTTTGGCCTGCACGCAGAACTGCCCATGGCGAGGCGGAAATCGCTGCAGCGCTTCCTCGAGAAGCGCCGGAACCGGTGAGCCTCCTGTTTCACCATGGCTTCTTCTTCGAAATCATGACGTAAAACACTATTCACGATGAGGCCGCTGACACTTCATTAACCATTATGAGTCGAAAGACTAAATTAATGTGACTTTCACACACAGTTCATCTTTCTACCAACTGCTCTCTGTGCAGGTTGGTGAGCGCAGCTCCATATGCTTCAGCAAAGTCATTAGACATGGAAGGTGACTCTGAGAGGCGCCCTCAACTCAACTCAGCTAGCCTGCTTGCTATGACGACCAAATCCACAGGCAACTGAGTCAATGGATCATCCACTGTTATCAGAAACAATATTATGACGCTTTAGATGAACCATTATGGACTATGGTTATCACTGTTATGATGAGCTTGCAGTATCCAGAAACATGCTAATATATTGCTCCTGTCAAATGCTGTAAATGGCAGATGGTGTTTTAGTATCAATCTCTCTGATGCAGAATTGTAGGAAGTATTGATTACTGCTTAGTAAACTTTATGAAGTATTGAAATCCAACAATATAATAAAAGCTCTTAAACAAATTGAACTGTTGATTCACATGAGAATGTTGTTGTATTTTGTTTTTTGTTTTTGTTTTTGATCCGAGTAGTAGTTCATGAATGAATATGCTTGGAAGGATAATTTAAATATCTTTAATATTTATATAAATTTAATTTTTTATTATATATATATATTATTTGGATTGAAACGTTATAAATATTGGAAAGGGCTAATTACATATTACCCTTTGTAAATAGTTATCTTTAGTATTTCGATCTTTATATTTTTAAAAATTATATTTGAGATCTATATATTTACGAGAATGATATGTATAATCTCCTTCAATGAAACTATTCTCTCTTTCTTTTCATGTACAGATATTTTAATGTTTTATAAGTATATGTATCCTAATATATTTTTTGAAATCGAGATGCTAGACATAACTAATTATAAAAGGTAATAGATAATTATTCCTATTAAAAAATAAAGTTAATTAGTTATTTTCGTTGGAATATGTGATAATTGTGATTTGATTAAATATAAAAATAAGGAGAAAGCTTGAGGAGAGAGACATCCTTAGGAAATTGTGTACTATTAACTTGTCACTCTTAAATATAATTATTTAAGAGAGTGAATAGGTTATGAAAACTTTGTGAATTAATAGGTTACAGTTTCAAACATATAATATATTATTGTATAAGTTGCTTGTTGAGGATTAAAATCTTACATTCTCACTAATTTTAACTGATGGCATTGTGGTCTTGTCCACTTATCCAACTTCTGCTTGGTTGGGATGTCACAATGTATGTCCCAATATTGGAACCTAAATGAGTCTCTAAAGTCATGAATTGTTTTTATATATCATCAATTTTTAATTTTATTTCTGAGTTTTTTTTTAGATATATCTAAAGCTAAACTAGCAATCTGCAACACACTTCTTGATCCAAGTGTGAATTTAAATGCACTACAGAATCTGAAACCCATCTTCAAATTCTCAGACTGGATCTGGATCTTCAACTGCAACTGAGATGTTGGATCCTCTCTCATCCCTGTTTCCAGTCATTGCACCATCGGCAATGATTTAAAAGGGATCCAAACTTAATGCAGACAACAGAGATCCAAACTTTGATTTAAATGCCCACCTAATTTATTGAATGGCATTAATATTGACTGTAAATGTTCAAGACAGGCAATGGAACTCATTACATAGAGTTATTGTTAATCCCATTGCTAAGTAGTTCACATAAATATCAGCAGCAGTAGTTGTATATGATACATGAAGCCTCTTTGGTCCATCTCAAAACCACGAGAGCTGATACAAAAAAGAAGGAAAAGAGCAGTAGATCATCCAATTGGGCCTTCTCAAGACTGCAATCACTAGCAACACCAGCCATGATGCATCCAGTCCTCCCCACACTGCTGATGGTGCAGCTAAACCCAGTCCCATGAACTGTGCAACTGGAAAAAGAGAAAGAGAATGACCATGGAATGGACCAAAAAGATGAAGAAGAAGGAGGAGGTGGTGGTGGAACGGAAGAGGAAGTCCCATGAACTGTGCAACTGGAAAAAAAGAAAGAGAATGACCATGAAATGGACAAAAAAGATGAAGAAGAAGGAGGAGGTGGTGGTGGAACAGAAGAGGAAGAAGAAGAAGAAGAAGAAGGAGATTCAAAAACCATGCCTAAAGACCATGGTGCAAAACATGTTCAAAGAAGAAGAAGAAGAAGAAGTAGTCGTAGTAGCATCTGGTGGTGTACAGTAGATATAACCAGGGCCAAAAGCAGCAGTAGTGGAAGATAGCAAAACATGGATGCTACATTGCATGGGGGCTGCGGGCTGCGCCATGCAAGTCCCCAGCTTTTAGTTCAGTCATCTCCATGGATATACCAGCAGAGCAGCATGGTGGCGCAGCGGCGCAAGATGTAGATCCTGGCCCGCTGCTCCTTCACGAGCGCTGCGCACCTTCCGGTGATTCCCCTCCTCGCCTTCCTCAGCCGGACAACGGCGCACTTCCTGCTCTCAGCCATGGCTGATACAGACATGTGAGTGAGACACTGACACCTTTGTTCCTCTCTCTCTCTCTCTCTCTCTCTCTCTATACGATGAGGCTTAGGCCATGGCCGAAGGCACAAAAGTGACCCCGAGACCTCATCCTGCACAGATCCCCCATGGGCATTTATACGAAGTCAAACCGGATGCATGGGGGGATTCATTCATGTAATGAAACGTGACGAAGAAGAAGGGGGGGTGAACATGGTCAGCCTGGTAACGTGGGGAGCTCAGTGTTGAATGGAGACATGGTGATGTGATTAAACTAGACTGGTGGTGTTCGGAGTGGGGCTTCTTTTTCTTCTCAGGATGAGTGTAGAGAGGCTTATCCTTGATATTAAAGTGGGGAAGGTAGCTTGAAAGGTGGAAAGATGCCGACGCAAGACGAAGCAACTTGGTACGTGAGGGGGACAAGTCTGCCGGTGGTTGACTCTCGTTTGGGTGGCACAGTTTGGTGGTATTCCCTTGCATCAGTCCCAAGCAAAGTAATACTTGGTTTTCTATATGATACGATTCATCTTCATCTACTGTTCCGATATGTGACATCCCAACAAAGTGCTTGAGATTGGTTTTGGAAGCATCTAAAGATTTCATATGCGTATAGATATCAACATTATCATTCAAGAACATGAAACAAATAGGAGACATGTGGTGATGTAGCTGCTAATTTGATGAAATAAAATAATAACACTTATTGATCATAAATTCATGGTTTATCTTGAATTGATGGTTCTTTTTCTAGACTATCTATCAGTGGGGGAGCAAAGCCATGGGAATCAATCTGTGGGAGCAGCCCCTGAAGCTTTGTACTGTCATTCATGGTGAGTATTATAATCTCATTGTAGAGATGTGGATTCAGCAAAGCATGCATACAGATTGAATTCCACTGGATCCCACCAATCATATCCATTAATTTAATAAGACTCATACAAATAATGCATATTTAATCAAGCTGTCCTTTGCATTTAAAAGAATGGAGAGCAATAAGAGACCAATTCACTGAAGCCTTTGGTAGTAGGGTCCAAAGGGGAAGAACAGATGAGTCATTGACCCTGTGAGATACACACACATGTATATTGAGATCACCTAAAGAGTTGGAAGATTTGGAGCAGATGATCTAATTTGATCTGCCACCTGTAGATTTATTTCTACAGCTCATCCACACTTTCCACATGTCTGGCGATGGATTAATCAACTGTGGACAACAACATCTTCCAAGGATTGTAGTAGAAACTCTTGAGATTGAGATGTTCCTCAGCAGGCTGACTTCATATCCAATTTATATTCCCTCACCCACAGTTGTATCAACTTGTCCCTCCATTTGGCTGATTGATCTAAACAATCTTTCTTGTTTTCCTAACTATTCTTCTCAGTTCAGCATCATTTATTGGCTGTTGATAAATATATATATTTATATATATATATTAGGCTGAAGTAATTTTCGATTTGATTTCCACCTTCTTTAATGATGGTGACATTTTAGTGATGATTCTTTTAGACATCCAACCAACATCTCAATCTATACATAGCACTTGAATCATATTGTTTCAACAATCATACGGCGCATTTATTGTGTTGGACATTTAAATAGTAAAAAAATGAGTTAACTTCATATTATGTCTTATGCTTAGATCCTATTAATATTATAAATTCTATACTTAAAAAATTTATATTAGGATCCAATCGTTTTAAAAGTAAAATAAATAACTCAATTCATGTTAATATCATCTACCGATAAAAAACATAACATGTGATATCACATAATAGATAAAAAAAAATAATTATAATATTTTTTATTGTATATTTTTATCGATAAAATTATAAACGAAAAGAATATTAAAATTATCTTTTTGATTATTACTTTTATATCGATCAAGCACATGATATGATGATGTTATGATAAATAAAATTATATTTTTTTTTATAATTATAAAGATCATAATATAAAATTTTAAAATATAAAAAAATTATGATGTTAATAAGATTTAATTATAAAGAATAATATGTAATTAGTCTTAGAAATACCTAATGATCTACAAACAATAACACAACGTCTAATCCATGCACACCGTGTAGTTCATGAATCATCATTAACAAAATGATGAATCAACCATGCCTTTCTTTTTCTGTGAAAACAAGAAGAAAACAATTCATGACTGCTAATCGATTCTGCGAGCACACATGCCAACTTTACATGTTACATTTACCAAAGTAATCAACATCTCATCATTAGTTCTCTAATCAATCCATTCTCTTAAGAAGTGAAAACCTCCATCCTACGTATTTCTTCCAAGTTCATGATTGAATAGAAGCTATTCATGGTCAAACAGCAATCTACTTACTGGTCGTCATGCATTCGCAGAGAGAAAGAGAGAGCGTTACCGGTCATTCTCATGAGCCAGAGACTGATGCAGAGGTCTATTAGAGAACTCCTAATCACAGTAATCTGCAGGTAAACCTCATCTAAATCTAACGAAACAGCATTGAACCCCTGCAGTTCCACACTCCTGCTCACGGGAAACTGCGAGTTTTTGAAGGTCCAGATCCCGTGTCCTCTTAAATCCATCAAGCACGGTTTTGAAGTGGTACAACAGCGTCGGACCCCACGGTCAATACGTGGATCCCACGAGTTCCGACCAATGGAAAGCTCTCCTATAGCGTTTGAAGCGGGCCAGAGGGGGGTCCCAGGCCCCCCTCGGCACAGAAACCCGTCTTCTTTCCAGGGAACGTGGCTTTTATTGATATGCTTGGCCTTGTGGGTTCCATGGGAGATGCCGTGGCTCCCGCATTCAACGGCTAATTGGAAAATTCTTATATTAGCGTTGGTGTTTCGGCTAGGACAGCCGATCCGGACCATCTCTTCTCTTCAAGCTCCCGTCGAAGTTATCGAAGCTGTTGGCCAAGCAAGGGCGGATGAAACAACACCAAAAGCAGATCTTTCCTGGCCCCCCCCTCTCCTGTTTCATCGTCTCATCTCCCCTCTTTATCTTCCCCTCGCCGCGTGGTCCTTCACATCTACAGTTCCGTTCCCTCCTCTGTGATCGTCGGATATCCCCTCCTTCCTCCGGTCTCCCCCTTCGCTCCACAGTCGATTTGCTGAATGGCCAACGCGCTGGGGATCGTCTCGCCGTCCGTGCACTGCTTCCGGCGGAGGAATCGGGCTCCTCTGGGGCTGGATGGATCCGAGAAGAAGACGGCGCTCATCTGCTTGGCCGCCGCCGATGGCGGCGTCGAGGGCCGCGTCCTCGACTCTACCTCATCAAGGTCTTGCCGTCCGAGGTACGCCTTCGTCTTAGCCCGTTCTTGTTTTAATGCTTGTGGATGATTGCGATTTGGGTTGAGTTTCTACTTGATGGGGTTTATCTTTCGGAGGTACGCGAAAAATTGCTTCATTTTTGGTGAGAGAGCATAAAGATTTATAGTTTTGCAAAATAATTTTCTTTGATCGAATTGATGCCGAATAATGTTCATCTCAAGATGTTCTGGAAGGATCAGACATCAATATAGGGATCTTCATGAGGCAGAATGGTTCTAAGTAGGCAACAATGACACAGGTAGTACCACTAGACGAACCTAGTTGTTCATCGATTGCACTCTAGTTAAAAAGAAAATTGATTATGCTGAAATAGGTTTGCCAGGAAAGCAGCAACAAGTACTATGGAGAACCGCCTTAGCTAGGAGGAAGTAGCCAGGCGGCCAAACTCCATCAGAGAAGGCTTTATGGAAGGTCTGAGTGTATTAATGGGTGATTCACCAACTTACGGTTTGTGCTTGTGGAATGTTTACCAAAGTTTCAAGCTTGATATCAAAGTGTTGTCTTGAAGCTTATTAGCTACTCCCGTTTTGAGTATGAATTGCCAAATAGTGTCATGGAAACGAGATTATGTAGCTTAGTGAAAGATTAGGGCTCCACGAATAGTCGGCAGAAGCAACCTGGTGATTCTTGAAAGGTGACTAAAAGGAAAACATGACCTCCTGACAGCATAAAAAGAGACTCCCAAGATAGGTTGATCCACCCTTATTGTGGATGACTTAAGAAGAAGGATCTATCATCTTATTTCACTTTACGGTCTCACTTGTGGTTAATATGACTGGAAAAGAAAATATACTATCTACTTTTGCATGAAACTCTCTCTTACCTTACTATTGCTAGTAATTATCTTACTTTGGTCTAATACGTTTTTTTTTGGAACATGGTCTTTAGATCCTCTCTGTTTCACAATATTGTTGGATTTACTTCAGAATTAAGTTTTTTTTTTAATTTACTTCAGTATACATTATTTTCATTAAGGTCAAGTGTTACTTGTTTTTGTGCATGACTTCAATGCATTGTACACATACACACTGACTTTTGTGTTTTTGTTAATTAGGGGTTTACTTTTCTCTGGTGCTCTAATTTTATGTTCCATAAATATCTTTTGAAACAAAAGAGTATTTTTATGAGTACTTGAATATGCATTCAAAACTATGGATCCATGGCAGTTGAACATGCTTTTCAAAACCATATATCCATTCTAAGAAAGGAAAAATTGCAGAGTTGTTGGCATGGGCTCCAAACTTGTTGGATGTGGATCGGCTGTCCCGAAGCTTCTTATTTCCAATGATGACCTTGCACAAATTGTTGAAACCTCAGATGAATGGATTTCTGTTCGGACAGGGATTCGTAACAGACGAGTTCTTTCAGGTATTGGGATATGCAGTCTTTTCTATCACTGTCAATGATTTTGTTTGTTACATTGTTCATATGCAGTCTTTTCTATCTGTACAAAGAGTATTGGGATTGTCAACAATGATTAGTCTCAAGAAAAAAAATAATAGTAGTAAAAGCTGAAATGGAGAAGAAATTTTGCTTAAGACTTCTACAGGTCCCATGTTGCTTCTCCAATAAGCATGTTTTTCTTTCTTCTTCAGAGGGCAGCCAAAGGCCAATCTTCCTCATGTAAGCAAGCTATTATGATTTGCATGATTCTATTTGTCTAAGTTCTCCAAAAGAAAGTCCATTTTAATAGTTTGGAGGAGAGCTTTTATGCAGCTAACATAAAATAAACGGTCAGGATAAACAAAATCAAACAGTTAAAGGGCGATTGCTGAATGTAACTTGACACTGCAGAGCTTGCCACTTGAAAGTTTTTA